ATAAAATATAATTATTATGAAGGTGCTTCTACTATTATAGTAAGCTTTGAGGTCTTTGACGGAAAGGCTCTGAGTTTTATCCCTTTCCTTCTACTGCAGTACCTAATGTCGGGCTCAGGATATAGTTAGCAACTCTACTCGACAAACTGCTGAAAAATAAAGAACATGAATTCCAAAGGAATCAACCATACAGTACTGTGAGTAATAATAATAATACTGTATCAAAGTTTAATCAGATTCAAATACCCATTATATGCTTTCTCCCTTATATCTAGAGTGTTAAAGATGCTTGTACCATATATTGATAGTCTACTACACTGCCAAAAGCTCGAACCCAGTTTGTTTCAGAACTGAAGTTAAGGTCATTTAAAAAGTAAGTACAAACATTAGCCATTTCATTGGATAAAATGTAGCTTCACTTGGGGGCAGGGTGAATTACACCCATTAAGTAGAAGAGCATATCCCCGTAAGAAGACAGAGTACATTGGTATTCTACAAAACATTCATGTTCACTGTAAATTTCATTCAACCATATGGTTCATTTTAAGAAAATATTAGGATTAACAGGGCTAACCCATACTGCTATAGCAAAGCTGTATGAAATCTTTAAAAAAATAAACAAAATCATCAGTTTTTAATGTGGATGGAGGCATTTTCCCAATCATTCTTCAGAAATTTTAATCTGCCTTACATTCAGAATCAAGGACATTCAATATGCTTAATTTATAAGTTGATTATATACTAGTTCCTCTTTTAATAAGAGCTCTTACAAGTTATATATAATTGACTTTTTAAAAAAAATACATTTTAGTGGTTTTAGAGAGGAAGGGAGAAGGAGAGAGGGTGATAGAAACATCAATGATGAGAGAGTCATTGGTGGGTTGCCTCCTGCATGCCCCACACTGGGGATCAAGGCCACAATCCGGGTATGTGCCCCTGACCAGAATCAAACCCAGAACCCTTCAGTCTGCACATGGATACTTTATCCACTGAGCTAAACTGGCTAGGGCTAAATGATTGATTTCTATGAAAGAGCAGTAAACATTTAGATGATATTTTCCCTTTAAATATCCTTTAAGGATATTTCCATTTTTGTATCTACTCAAGTTAGGAAAATCTTCATTAACAGTGTTATCTATAGTATGAATCTTAGTATAAAGTCACAGTTCTTAGAGTAACACTCATTTCTTCATTCACTCACTCCCACATTTAATACTTCAGACTTAATAAGAAAGTGGGATGTGTGTTAAAATTGGGGAGCACTGAAAAAGAATAACAACAAAAGACAAAATCTCTAGTCTTCTTATAAAAGTTAAAGTGGGAGGGTGTGATCTCAGGGGTAGATTATAAAACATGTGATTAAAATCCAGGCTTCCCTAGCAACACAGTATTCTGTAACTGGTCATCACTTTCCAATTATACTCTCTATTGGAAAACAGGAAAGGATGTATATTGATACTCAAAGGATTTGTTTAAAAAAAAAAAAAAAGGACTTTCTCTTTAAGAAATCAGACCCAAATATAATCTAATCAAGTCGTTCATAATCTAAATGCTATTAGTAATATTCTATACTAGGAAGAAAGATTGCTGAGTGAGGTGAGGCTCAATTACATGAACTGAGGGCAGGATAGTAAAAAGACCTCTTCCTCTCCTGCTTTTGCCCAGGTCTGTAATGTGACATGAAAACTGGCAACCCTATTTTGACAGCATTTCCTCAAAATTATTCTAACTGGTACTTCATTCACTGTAGTGCAATGAAAGGAGCCTGACAAGGAACTGGAATCCTTAAATTCGAGCACAGCCATTCACAGCCACACCTATTACTACCATTCCCCATGACAACTTCCTAGAGTCTCAGTTTCCTAACCTGTAAACTGGCCTCCTATGTCTCACCTACTTCCCTGAGTTATTTTGAGGCCATAAAATCCACGGAAATGCTAACTAAAATGTTCTCTCTCAGAACAACCCAACTATGGATTCCATTTGGACCTCATGAGAAACAGAACATGGCGCAATGTGAATAAATGTCCCTGTACTAAGTTGGGAGGAAGAAAAATAACTCACTTCTTTCAAACAGACACAATAGGATCATGGCCAAGTCATGTATCCTCTCCGAAACTCAGCCTCTGTAATACCTACCCGTTAGTTCTGTTGTGAAGGGAAGCAGCAGCATAACATATCAGTATTCTAAAAGGCCGTAAGACATTTAACCCGAAACAATAACAAAGTCAGTACAACAAAATTGTGTTACCCAAGTGCCACTCAAGCTTCTTTTTAACTACCGAGGCATGACACAGAAGATACATATCACACTCTAATAATTATCCTACAAAGAACCCAAGGGCACTCCCTAAGATTAGATGATGTTCAAGTATATGTTACCGAAATCACATGGCTGATGTGTCCCATGCTATTCACTCTACCTTTTTATAGAAAGAAAAACAATTTAAAACTCAGTATTGATCTGGCAAAAGTAATAGTACATACATAGTACTCTCCA